TGAAACAATACGAGAACCTGGTAACATCTAAAGGACACCACATGGCCCACCCCTGAGCTAAACGCATAGGGGAAAACAAGATGAATGTTATTTACACAATAGTGGTTTTTTTAAAAAACAAAACAAAACAAAAAACAAATAGCAGATTGAGGGGTGGGTGGGATCTGGAGCAGGGTAAAGGCTAGGGACAGGGAAGACATTAATACCTATATGAATATTGTAGTGCAGTTCTCCAGCCAAGTAATGTATACAAAAATGCATACGTTGGAATAAAATGTGCATCAGATGGGTAGATTGGTGAAAATAATGGATAATAATGCAATTACATTATGGAAGACCACGTTGCAGAAAGTGTGAAAGGCAAAAACTGCATGCAAAAATGTGTGTATTAAAAGAAATTCACACTAAAATACTGATAAATTTACATGAGTTTGTTTTTTTAAAAAAACCCCAACTGTTATGGAAATGTGGAGTCTAGAAAAATGAGAAACTGAGATAAACTGAAACTGACAGCTCTGCCCATCTCTAACAAAAGGTTAAAGCCTCTCCCCATCCTGAGGCCGGGATACCAACCATCCCCAACCCCACAACTCAGCACACATTTTTGTATGAATATGGTCACATGAAGTGAGCAGTTAGTGAAGTGTTTTGCTGGTGCTGGGATGTGGGTGGTGCTGTGGTCTAAACCACTGAGCCTAGGGCTTGCCGATTGGAAGGTCAGCGGTTTGAATCCCTGTGACGGGGTGAGCTCCCGTTGCTCGGTCCCAGCTCCTGCCAACCTAGCAGTTTGAAAGCACGTCAAAGTGCAAGTAGATAAATAGGTACCGCTCCGGCGGGAAGGTAAACGGCGTTTCCGTGCACTGCTCTGGTTTGCCAGAAGCAGCTTAGTCATGCTGGCCACATGACCCGGAAGCTGTACGCCGGCTCCCTCGGCCAATAAAGCAAGATGAGCGCCACAACCCCAGAGTCGTTCGCAACTGGACTTAACCGTCAGGGGTCCTTTACCTTTACCTTTTGCTGGTGCTATGTATTTGACCTGTGCTGTTCAATTTTAACCACAGGCTTAGCCACACATACCCACTTCTTTAGGTCAATTTGCGGTTTATAGACAAGTTAGTGCATCCCAAAATAAGAGCAGTGTTTCTTGCCATTAATTGTGGTGACTTCTTCCTTCCTGCCCCCCCTTTCACTTTTCTTTGCCAGCTTGTTTCTGGAAGTACTGCGTTACCAACTGAAGGCCAGGATCCGACTGATCTTCTCTGCGCATGTGTGCCCATCTCCCCAAATGCCTCCCAGAGACTGCCTTCAAACCCAGTCTGTCCAGAATGTGGGCTCCTTGCTTACAGCTGCGCTTCAATGCATCAGTTAACCTTGAATCATGCCATGCCATTTTGGTTATGCCGAAGAATTTGCTTTGCCTTGCAGATAGAATCCTTCATATCACCACAACAGCCCCATGGTGGAGAACAGAAACCAGTTGCTGGCTTTGTTCATGGCATAGCAGATGCGGAAAAGAGAGACAGCTCAAGGAAAGAGCTTGTACCTTCGTTAAACTGGGTGGGGCAGTTGTGGAAGCGTCTGTTCTTCCAAAGCTCAAAGCCTAAACTCACCAAAACACATTGCCCTCCAGATGGTGCTGAACTACAACTCCCATCAGCACCAGCCAACGTGGCCAACGTTGAAGGATGGTGGGAGTTGGAGTCCAATAACAACTGGAAGGCCACTGGTTCCCCACTCCTGCTTGGGCAGCAGGTGAATTAAACTGGGCCTTGGATTGGCTTAAAATCAGATTCCATCATGAATAAACTTTATTCCTGAAGTAAAAACACAACAGCCTGTGTTGGCTGTTGGGTGAAGCTCCCACAAAGGCAAACCCCTTCCAGTTAGCAGACTTCAGAAAAAAGCACCGGAGGAAGAACAGCAAGTTGCAAGATGCCTATTTTTATGTATTTATATTATATATTTATTTGCTGCTTAATCCACAAACCAATGGCTGTTTTCATAAAAACAATGTAGAATATTCATCAGAAAAAGCAAACTTTAAAATGGAGTAGGCATAACATTTATCAGAATAAAACCAGCAGTTTTTTAAATTAATAAAATTACATGCATGTAAATTATTAATACCATTAAGATAGTGACATCGGGATGAATGGCCTCTGCAATGTTTAGCAATGCTAGGATGCAAGCAGACACCCCTTCATAAAATAACAATGGGGTGTATCCAGTACCAGTTCTAATCAGGGAAGCTCCATTGAAGATACTAGACATGACTATGTTAGGTTCATTCATTTCCACGAACCTACTCTGAATAGACCTTAGTTGGATACAACCTAATTGTTTTAAGACTGCCTTGAAAATAAGCCCACAAAATTTATTAGCCTGCAGAGCTGTATTCTTTACCCTGCTAGAGGCTGGCAGAGAAGAAAGAGAGAGAGAGCTCCGTCTTTCAGCAACCCACGGCATTTCTATTCTGGCTGTAAAGGAAATGTGTGTTCTTTCCTCTGGCAGGCCAATTGTATGCTTGACACAGAGAAGGAGTTCTGTACCACCTCTTCCTCCCCTAACCTGCTCACTAACTTCTTATTGCAATGGTAGGGTTGGGGTATCGGTTAGATTCAATTCAAATTAAAAGCCAAGCCTATCTAATATGCACTTTCTCTGAATAGAAACACAACCAACCTTCAAAATCCACGGTTCTCTGAATTTTGCAGTCCAGTTCTCCAGGGTACATAAATGCATACCTTAGGGCAGCATGTGCATAGAAATGCATATATTAGTGAAAATATATAAAATGCAAATAGGCATAATAAAGGGGGAAGTTGCTTCATATAAAATGTGTATACACAAATGGGCATATTAGGATAAATCCTCACTAAAACGCTGGTGGGTTTTCATGTTAAAAAAACAATAATACAAACTTGATGTGGAAATACAGAGAACTGAACTGAAGATTTTGGGGGGTGGGGGTGAATGAGAAACTGAAATTGATAAGATTCATCTATTCTTAATTGCAACTGATGGTTTGTTCCCTGAGTGCTGCAAGGCGTCTGTCATAGAATGCTTACTCACCTGGGGAGCAAGTAAAGTCATAGTCTGTCCCATTTGACCACTGTGGGTAATGATGCAAGTCTATAGGCCCTGCTGTGTAAGGGAGTGAAGATCTCATGTCCTGTTCCCCACCCCCACAACTGTTTAGACTGGGGTGATTATCCAAAGCAAGACCCCAAACAATAATGATTTTGGACAACATATTCCCCCATCCTGCATCCTTCTGCATTAATATGACCTACTTCATTGATCCCCATGACAGCAAGCCTGTGTTGTCTTTCCTTGTTGTACGGATTAAAATCTTCCTGTATTTATTACTGGGATTATTGTCTTTTTGTTTGCATTGCTGCCTGTTTCCATGGTCTTGCCTTCAGCTAATTTTGGTTGTGCAATGCTCAATAAAGAACTGGCTATAATCTAACCTCTGCACAAACTGTGTACAAGCAAATCAGGATGAATGCTCAAATAAACCAGTCATTTATAGGGGCCGTAATGGGGAGGCTGAACTTAAGCGTTATTTGGACCACTATATTTATCACAGTGGGGCAGGCACATGGATGCCAGTATGAATTGTTCTGCATAGAAACAATTGCAAGGCAGTGAACTGACTGTGTGAAACTTTCTTCATGCTGCACATACATGCCAAAAAGAATCTGAAAAAAACCTACTAACAACTGTGCCATCTTAAGTACACGAAGAAGACTGTCGTGGGAATTTCCACAGAACTGTGCTTTAACAGCCAATAAACCGAATGTCAAAATATAAAGAATTTTATGTAGGGAAGGGAAAGGGGTAAGACAAAAACCTCTTACTTATGCATGCACACATACATACAAACCTTAAAAAAAATTTAATAATGTCAGTCTCTGGATGCACATGACATTTTATTTCAGCATCAGTGAAGACTCCAGATTTGTTTTTTTCTACGTAGCCCACACACCAACAGTCTAGTTCTATGGCATATTTTTTTGCCCCTGGAAAGGAACTGGTTTCATTCTGAAAATGAAAGTTCATCGCTCATTGATTCTACATTACCAATCATGGTGCCCCTTTGAAAACAGTCCTAGCAATGGGGAGCATATCCACAACTGCCCAATTACATTGTGGGTAGGTGTACAACACAGCTGCCACCACCGCTTCCTTCTTAGTTCCCTTGACATAGGAGCCAACTCATAGGGGCCAAGGGGTCCTCAGGCCCCCCAAATAAAATGTTTGGGACTCCCAACGTTGATGGGCATTGCCATTCAAATAGTGTCTGTGTATCATGCCATGCAATTGAATATGCAGGGCTGAGCTTACTTGGGTACCCCCAATATTTTCTTCAAGTTGGCTCCCCTCTCACCTGAGGCATGTGCAGGGAAGAATAACCTAATCAAGAGAAGGGTTTTCAAATGTGTATCAAGTAACGACACACACCCTTGTAGACAACAGGATCTAGAATGAATCAAGACTGAAAGCAGCACATTGAGGACAAGCATAAACATACAGTGGTGCCCCGCAAGACGAATGCCTCGCAAGACGAAAAACTCACTAGATGAAAGGGTTTTCCGCTTTTTAGTCGTTCCGCAAGACGAATTTCCCTATGGGCTTGCTTCGCAAGACAAAACGTCTTGCGAGTTCTTGCGAGTTTGTTTCCTTTTTCTTAAAGCCGCTAAGCCGTTAATAGCCGCTAAGCCTCTAATAGCCGTGCTTTGCAAGACGAAAAAACTGCAAGACGAAGAGACTCGCGGAACGATTAATTTCGTCTTGCGAGGCACCACTGTAGTCCCTGTCCCCAGACTCATGTTTTAAAAAGGATGAGGAGGGGAAAGGTTTCATAAGAAAATATAAAAGCATGCAGCTCCAACTTTCATCATATTGTCCAGGCACAGTGTTGCCATCTCATTTGCTGTTGGTATTAGTTAGGCATTTTGCTAATTAGGAGGGATACAAACCAATAAAAGGCCTGCCTAATTCTGTCCTCCACCCAGGGCCGTCTTTACCTGGGGGTGCAAGGCACCCTGGCACCGAATTCTGGGGGTGCCAGGTGGGCGACCTGCGCTTGCCGCTGAAGCCACCCAGATGCCTCCCTGCCGAAGAGCGTCGCTATGAGCTTGGTCAAGGGCGCTAGTGGCGGCAGCAGCAGTGGGAGCTCTCCGGGGTCCCAGCTGGCCAATCAGCTGTGGGCAGGGGGCGGGACAAAAGCAAGGCAAGGCTCATTTTCTTCTCCTAGGTTGACTTCCTGGGCCACTGGAGCAGCCTGCCGAGGCCAAGGTCGAGGCCGCTACCTATCCTGCGAACTCCTCGGCCCTGATCCCCCTCTGAGAAGCCCCTGCTGCCTCTGAAAGCAGAGCGTGCGGGACAATGGCAACGGCGCTGGGAGGAGCAGTGCAGCGCCGCCCTGGGCGCTCGGCAGGTTGGCCTCCCCTTTGCCCCCAGGCTCACCTGTGTGAAGGCAGCATCTACCTCCCTCACCCCACAACAGTCTCCCCTGCCTGAATGTAGGATCCCCCTCCCTCAGCCACACACCCCAGTTTCCCCTGTGTGAAGGCAGCACCTCCCTTCCTCAGCCACATGTCTTCCCTCTGTGAAAGTAGCATTTATTACTACTCAGGAGGCGGTGGCAGCAGCAGCAGCAGCAAGATGGGCGCATCTTTGCACCCTGGCGCCGCATATGCTAAAGACTGCCCTGCCTCCATGCAGCAATCATACTCAAGCAGTCTCCAGCAATGATTTTCCATACACATATCCAGGCCAAGTTGTGGAAGTTGTATATAAAATAAAGTTTATTATAAAGTTGTATATAAAATAAATGTTTTTTTTTAATAGACAGTAAACTGGCACATCTATTTTTTTAAGTGGAAAGTTTCCTTGTTCTAGTGCAATGGAAGAAGGCTAAGAGATTCCTTGAGAGACAAGCACACAAGCAAGTGCCTTTGTGGCACCTGAAACACTAATACACATTATTGTGGCATAAGGGACCATGGTCAGCTGACACAGACCAGACCAGACTAGTTACCTATTTAGCGTAATATTGCCTCCTTTGACGGGCAGCCCAACTCTAGCTTCCTGGCCCAAAGCAGAGTAAATGGCAGCCCTGCCTCCCACTTGCATTAGTACCAATACTTTCAAAAGGCTTGCCCAGAGTCATTCATGGGAAGAGATAGGGTTAGGAGCGTCTCCTGCCTGAAACCTAAGACCCACTCCCAGACAATGCTGAGCAAGATGGATCAATGGCCCAACTTTCAGAATAAGCAGCCTCCTATGTTCCTATGTGTGATGAAAGTAGGCTCTGGCCAAGGTGCATTTATTAGGCAACAATACATGCCTTAAATCTTTAATGAGCCTAAGGACATCTGCGTGTGTTTGTTTTTTTGTTTTGCTACAACAAACTAGCACAGCTATTCCTCTGAAATTTATCCTTTAGAATCATAGAACTGTAGAGTTGGAAGGATCCTGAGGGTCATGGTATTTCAACCCCGGCAAAGTAGGGATCCTGCCCACAGCTGTCCCTGGTGGCCTCAACACCATCCAACCTTCTGGTTAACAGCCAGGGCGCACTGATCCAATGTGCCACAGGAGGGCCAGAGTTAATTGTTTTCCCCAGTGCATGGTACATACCTGTATATTTGATTACATTGCAAACATTGCTACTACCCTCATACAGTATCATCTAGCCTATTAACTGGGGTGGGCAACCAAGCACAGATAGGGCACCATCTTGTCAGCTGAGATGGAGCCAAAGGGGAACCTAGAGTGTTGTGGATAGGAAAATGGCAGCATTTAGTGATGATTGCCTTCACCAGCCCCAAGCAGGCATTCTACAGGTGTATGTTTCCCAGCCCCCACCCATCAGCTCTGGCTCCACCTACTGTGACCTCCCAGCTACCCGCCATACTAGTCTCAACGGCCACCAGCCCCCCACTGCCACATACCAACCATGTCCACAGGTCATGGGTTGCTAGCTACTTCTGCCACCACAAAGTGGAAATGTATAGCACTTCTGGGCAACTCATCATGGGAAGAAGGCACTCAGATGTGACAGAACAGACAGAATGAAGAGACTTCTTTTTCCCTAAAAAAGTTTGAAGAAACTCCTTTAGGTCTAGTGTGGTGGAGTGTCCAGAACAAATGTGAGAGGTGTCTCTTGAAGCCAGCATGATGAAAAGAACTCGCTGACGAGAGCCTCTCGAGAAGGGAGAGTTGAAATGCCAGGAGCCAACACGAATGGAATATGGCTCTTAGCTCATCTCTTGCCACAGTGGCATAGGTGCGTTCGATCTCCTCATCAGCTGGGCAGGTGTGACTGAACTCATCGCGGGCATAGGCATTGTGAAGATAGCGCCAAACTGCTGTCATCTCCAAGGGGATCTCAAAGTTGCAGTACTTTTTTGCAGCGATCTGAGAGGAAGGGATGGATGTAGAGAAATAATAATAATTGGAGACTGATTTACTCTTAAGCACAAAGTGTTGCTCAGGAGAGAGAAAAGTTGGGGCAATTAATCAGTGATTAAAGCTGGTGCCAGGTTTGGCATGATCCCTGGGCAGGATTATCCAGCACCCCACCTTAGCAAGCTTCCTTGGTGGTAGAATTCCAGTGGGAAATGAGCAGCTGTCTGCCCCTGCTTGGTTCCAAAAGGCAGCCATTTTAATTGCCTACAGTGGCCCAGAGTGCATAACATTGGGCACTCCAAGGCATCATGGGAAATTTTAAATGGCAGTCTCCCAGAACCCACTGCAGAGAGGGGCTTGGGGCAGCCATCAGCACTGGTGGGCCCTGCTGGAGTGTGTGGACCCAGGCAGCTGCATGTCGATGCCAGATGTAGTTAAGGTAGAGAGCGTGACCTTGACAGAAGTTGACAACAGTCTCTCTGTGCTTTAGCTTACATAGAGGAACACAGGAAGCTGCTTTAAACTGTGTCAGACCATTGGTTTATCTAGTTCAATACTGCCTGCACTAACTGGCAGTGGCACTCCAGGGATTCAGAGGGAGGACATTCCTAGTCCTTCCTGGAGATGTTGGGGACTGAACCTGGGACATTCTGCATGGAAAGCAGATGCTCTGCCAATGAGCTAAGGTCCTTCCCAGCCCTTGTTTGTTATATGGCAGAATTTGGGAAACTCTGATCATGTGGTCTAGTGACAAATATTTAGCCCATCTCAAGTCAAGGCTGCAATCAAGCAACATCTTGGGTGGAAGACAAGCTGCAGTGGAACAGAAACAGTGCTGTATGTGACAGATGTGGTGTATAAGAGTGTTGAACTCTGACCTGGGAGACCAGGGTTTGAATCCCCACTTAGCTGTGAAGCTCACTGGGTGACCTTGGGCCAGCCACCGTCTCCCAGCCCCACCAACCTCGTGGAGTTGTTGTGAGGATGCAATGCAGATTAGTGAACCAAGTGCACCACCCTGAGCTCCTTGGAGGAAAAGGTGGTATATAAATTTAATAACTAAAATAAAATACAATAATAATAAACATGGGGCAGAATGGGAAATGCCTTCTTGCATCCCTACCCATAAGCAGCCGCTTGGAGAACTGAGCCTTGATCTCTGGAACAGACGTCATCAGCTTAGTATACTGGGAAATGTACTCACCTTGATTATGTGGAGTTTGGGGAGCAGGTTGCAATCAGCTAATGTCATCCAATTCCCATCTAGGAACTTTCTCTTGGAGACCAGCACATCTTCTGCACAATCTTGGTCAATTTCCTCTGGGAGTGGGGTGCTTAAATAATCATCCAGGCGCTTGAATTCTCTCAACAAAGCCTTTTCCATATCTGAATCATAAGAACCAGCCACGGATTTAAGTGTTTGTCCAATTTAAACAGTTTTAGTCCATCATTTCGCTTTTGCTTTCTAACCAATTTTATCTATTGATTTATGGACTGCCTTGAAATATGTCAACCCTGTTATATTTTAAGGGCTTTGCATATGGGCAAGATAATGGCTACATTTGGCTGCCGAGCTATACCATAGCTCAGCATGAACAAGTCTAGGAAAGCCTTGGGCTTGCACAAACACCTTTCCTTCTGTCCACCCCTGGCACAGCCAGGAGGAGAATGGAGGTGCTTGTTGCTTCCAGTTTTGCTTAACCATCAGGGCTGGTCCAGCCATTAGATGGGGTGAGGCTCCCACCGCAGGTGGTGGAAGCCCCCCAGGTGGCAGCCCTTTCATTGCTTCCGTCAGTGGCAGAGAAGTGGTGCCTGCATCAGCACTGATTTTGGCTGACAACTTGCCAATTTCAGGCAAGATATTGCCGAAATCTGACAAGATCTCAAGGAACATGGGAGATCTCACTTGAAATCGACCCAAGATCTCACCCCAAATCAGTGCTGATGCAAGTGCCACTTCTCTGCTATCAATGGAGGTGGCAGGGCAGGTGGTGCAGGGCAATTTCGTGATTAAAACCAATTGAAAAACCTCCAAGGAAATTAGTAATCTGGATTTTACTGCAAATTTATTCTTGTAAAACACATTTTTTGCCTACAGTGTTCACTCACGTACAAACTTCTGTAATGCATTTTTGAATATGATTCTCACTAATATATTTGTTTTTATGCCCTAATATGTGCATTTTTGTAAACATTGTTTGGTTGGAAAATTTGGATAAGTGCACATGGCAAAGAACAGCGGTATTTTAGTTCGTGTATTGTTTTGGGAAGTACGAATCAATTAAATAAATTTAAATACTTAACTAACTGACCAATTGCATCACAGATAACTTGATTCTGTCCCCCCTAACATGAAGCCTGCCCCCCTAAAACAAATGCCATGACTCCCAGATTATCGAGTCCCCTTTTATGAATATGATAATACAATTAGTATCACTCCTATGTATTATCCTTGCTTATTTCATTCTAGATATTTCCCAAAGGAAATAAATTTAATAAGCTTACTTTTGTTTGCTTCCTTGTGGGGGTTCTTGATGTACGCAGAGAACTTGGCAAAAATGTTCCTGCCAACAGCCATAGAATCCTGGTTTTGTGGGGTGAGCCGGGGGTATCTTAATTAGAAGTACAGAGTTAATTTAGATGTGCAGGAAAATAACTCAGAACTCTCATGCTTCCATTGAACTAGCCACTTGCTTATCTTATTGTCTCGAACCCCACCTCATAAGAGCTTGAAAGAACAAGAGACACAATTCTGGACACCATAACAAGGTATTCTAGAGACATGGCATACAACTGAGCACAACACAAGGTCTCTAACACCTCAGTAGGGTAAAAAGGCGCAGAGTCTGGTAGGGTAGGGGTGGAGGCTAGTGGTACCCAGCAGAAACAGGAGGTGGAACCTGGCAGGTTATAGGAAATACCTGGTAGCTGAGTAAACAGTGTTATCTCTCAAGCTAAGCAGAAAACAACCCG